AGTTAATCGAAATGAGGAACTATAAAAATGATTTTTTTCACCCGTATTTAGATGCTATCACATGAATACTTTCAAAGAATTGACAAATGAAATCGAGCACTAAAAATGGACTAAAAAGCGCAACAAATCAGATTAAGTAACTGCCAATTAATTAAGTAACTGTTGCCAATTCCATATTTATATCCATACATACAAAAACATTTGGGTCGAAAATTGATTTCATCGTAACAGTGAAAGAACGAGAAAATTGATGGTTTGAGAGAAAGTAAATAAAATTCACATTATCAATCAATTTGTTATAAGTAAGCGACGAATCAACACCGTCCACAACACGCAGATTCGAAGGCAAATCGTCTGCGTTAAAAACCGGCTCATTGAGATCATAATACAGTGACCAAAGTAATGGCGGTCGTGAATCCACTGAAAGCCAGTGTGACAGTAATAATGATGGTAATTGAACACAGCAGGAATATTAATGAACAATATTAAAATTATCGTAAGAATGCCAAACAAACAACGAGAAGCGACTAGCCATGTAAATCGGTATGTGTGGATGGAGATTTGTACAATTTCGATGCGATTGGCTGTAATTTCTCGAAAGCACTTCCGTCACAATGGGCAGTCAGATGTGAAAGAACTGCAAGAATAAAATCGAGTATACAATCAGAACGCCCGGATTCAGTACGACTTAATCATCATAATCAAGTAGTCAACTTTTCCTCAATGTCTCGCAACATTTTGAGATTTAAATCAATCGTGAATTGGCACTACTGAATTCAACGTACAATATCCCCTCGGCGCAGCACATCCGCCGAAACCAACTTCCAATAAACGCGCAGAAACGTCGCTATCCAAACGCATCAAATTCAATAATGAGATCTGGAATAATCCTCATCTCTTTTCATATATTCCAAATAACACGTTTACTCAACTGTTTATTCACAAACTTCTTTGAAATGAGACATGCTTTTTACTGTCAGCATTCTCAATACCTCTTTTCGTCATCGTTCTTTCGGCAAAACCAAGTGTGATTGGTAGCAAATTCTCTTTTCACCATTCTTCTGCCTTTTCCTATGCGT